CGTGGGCGGCGGGGCGGGCGGCAACGCCTCACAGAATCACAGAATCACAGAATCACAGAATCACAGAATCACAGAATCACAGAATCACAGAACGGCAAGAGTTGGAAGGGACCTCAGGAGATGACCCAGCCCAACCCCCCGGCTAAAGCAGGGTCACCTAGAGCTGATTGCACAGGACATCGTCCAGGCGGGCTTTGAATATCTCCAGAGAAGGAGACTCCACAGCCCCCCTGGGCAGCCTGTGCCAGTGCTCTGTCACCCTCACAGTAAAGTTCTCCCACATATTCAACTTCATGACTGTTTATAGAATATATTTATTTTAGAAGACATATGGCATTCAAAGTCTCCCCCACCCCCGCATCAATATCAGCAATGCACATTTTAATAAGTTGCTTACAATAAATAATAAAGGAAAAATGGGGGGGGGTCCTTCAGACTTCACGACAGCTATGAATATTACAGATGGGATTTTCTAGGCAAATCCTAAGCACTCGGTGGCTTACCTGAGGGCTTTATTTAATATATAATTATCGTTACACTGAGGGGCATTGCCCTCCTCAGCGGCAGGCGATTCCTGCCCGGTGCTGTCTGATGCGGGACGAACCTCCTGATTTGTGTCCGGCTACACTAGAGGCTGGGCTGCAAGAAAATCTCTCTGTATGGCGATAAAATACCATAGGAAGCCACAAAATGCCCTAAATAAAGCATACCTAGAAAATACCACAAAACCAGGCCCAATATAGGAGTCCCTGCCCAGCTCTGGGCAGCACTCTCTAGGTATTTCCCAGCTCAGAGCATGAGAGCAAGGGTGCAGAGAGGGAGTTCAGCGCCGGAGCCGCCATCATGGGGCCTGCCCGTGGCTGGGACAACACGGGTGGAGGCAGCTGCCCCACCGGCGTCACCCACCCCTGCTCCTTCTGCCATGACGGCTGTGGGGATAGTCTGCAAATATCTGCTGGCTGTCATCGCCACATGGTCCCTTAGGAGAGGAATTGCATAGCCCCCATGGAGGGGTTCGTCTCCCCGTGGCTCAGGGCCCAGCTGGGCTTCGCACTGTGGCCTGACCGGGGCGCCGTCTGCTTGAGGATGCTGTGAGGCAGTGCTTGAGCTAAAGCCATGGCAGAGATGAGTAAAAGCCACAGGGAAGCGTGATTATTGCAATGGAAACAACAGTCAGCAGCTTAGAGATTCAAGAGGAAGTTTATTGACATCCTTAAACCGTAAGAAAAAACTGAAGGCGGAGGCTCAGAAGAGAGAGGCTGAGCACCCCTGGGAGTCAGTCCTCTGCAAGGAGCAGCATAGGATGCCTCTTCCCTGCCTTGTCCAGGACAGCCGGCTCCCCAAAAGCTCACTGAGTTACTGCTGCGGGGCACATTAACACTCAGCCTAGTAGTGTGTTAGTCTGCTGTGTGCATTAGCTAACAAATAGTTACTCTGTGCTCCTAAGTTGTGTATACCCGCTTAGAGTCCCTCTGTGCTTGGTATAAGCCTGCACCAAATGACCTAGACAGAGAGGTCATACCACATTTGTGTTGGCACCAGAAGCAGGAGCTGGTGGGATGGAGCCAGCCCAGTTCGGTACCCAGCCTGGCAGAGAGCAGCTGGTGTTATATGTGACTGAGTCAGACATCTTCTGCCTTCAGAAAGTCCTCTGAGTAGTGCCAGCGATACAATTGGCCTTGGAGAAAACTTTGAAGCAATGAGGCAGTTACCTCTGTCACATGTGCAGTAGCTTAGTCAAAGATTCAGCCATCTATCATGTTTTTCTGTTTTATTTCAGTTATTGGACGGTGGAAATACAGTTGTGTACACAGGAAACCTGAGGCACTCTGTATAGTTTCTACTAATCTCTAGGTGCAGACTGATATGTGCACAGCCTTATCTGAGACTGTTACATTTTGCTTTAATGTAAATCTGTTCCTGCACACCTCTGAAGTAAACCAGAAAATCACTGTTCTACCAAGTAAATGCTCACACAGTTAGTGTTTAAGTAGCAGTGTAATTATGCTGGTTTTAATTTATACCTTGATTTGTGCAATTTCCCAATGAACTTGCATGTCTGCTTCTCCTTTTCACTCTGTGGAATAAGAAAAAGGCATTCTGATACAGCCAAGGAACTGAATCCAAGGAGTGAATTCATGGAGTTTGTACTTTAAGAGCTCTGCTACCTAACAGAAATCCAATGGGAAGAAAATCACTCAATGTTATTCAGGAATTGGCACTGATCTGTGGTCAGGAACATTTGTACTAGTTATTAAATTTTCCAATCAGTTTTGTTTATCCTAGTAGTTCTGGCTGTAGATGCTCTTTATCTTGTTTCCTAAGGAGCTGAAACATATATGCTTGTGCTGCCTGCCACCTTTCTCTGCCTGTCCCCCACTTACCAGTCTGGAAGTTGCTGTTTAAGTTCAGGCAAATTTGGCAGGTAAAGTTCCTATAAGTTTTGTGGAAATCGGTGGCTGGACAATATATTGGAGCCTCTGCTTAGGGAAAGCAACTCTGATCCATTCTGAGAGGCAGCAGTCAACGGGCCTATCAGCAAAAACATGAACATAAATCTATAGGAAACATGGCTCATTTCTCAGGAAACAACTTGTATTATGCTTCTGTTTTCACTGAAAATGCTTTAGAGCAGTGACCTAAGTGACAAAAAAATGGTTTGTATAGGAACTCATTAAGTTAGTTTCCTGAAACACAGATGCATCATTTAATGAGTTTGGATTGCAGAGAAAATGAGGAGAGGCTGAACTATCAATGTTGCTGTCAATGTATAAGTAAATGCATGCTGTGGTTAAGGGAGCTTGGTAGGATCCTGAAATTATTTTATAATGATGCTGTGGGATAATTTAGTTGCTGTAGCATAAATGAGTACTGTTTTCACTTTGAGTTGGTATGGTGGGCTGAAACTGTCATGGTTCAGGAGCATGTGACATCATGGTAAAAGCAGGGGTGAAACTCTCCTGTAGCAGAATGGAGGAAAGAGTTGGGAAGCAATTAATTCAGCCATCGCAACTGAAGTCAGTCCCCCCAGGTACACATTTGAGGCTTTAAGTGACGGCTGTGAGCGTACAACGGAGAGGTATGCCTCTTTTCACAGGCCTCAGCATAAGGGAGAAGTAGACTGAACTGCTAAATAGCCTGCATCCTCAGCTGGGCTGGGGAGGGGAGGCAGGAATGAAGTCAAGTCTCAAACAAGACAAGCTTTGGTGTACTTTTTCAATGGACTAACGTTAATGGAAATTAGTGTTAATGAAATCTGGTTGACTAACGTTGAGTGAAGTTAGCAAAACAGAAAATGGATTGTTGAAGACTGTTATAGTCTTGCCTTTGAAGTTCCTGGCCCTGTATAATGTTTCCCAGGACTCAAACATCAAGGATGTGAACAGCAAAATAAATGAAGGGCAGCTGTGATGAATCAAAGAAAGGAAGTTCAAATGACTCCAAAGCTCCACAACTAAGACATAAAACAATGAACCGCAAGATAACATAACATATGTTACAACAGTGCACATTACCAGTGTCAGGCTGTAGTCATCAGGCAGCACGTCAGGAGGATGACTTCCCAGGTGTGATTTCAATTCAAGTGCTTGGGAGCTCTACAGTAAAATGTAGTGAGGAAATTGGGCTACAAGAAATTGGGTGTTTAAATGTCAAAGAAAGATGTACACACTAGAAACTTCTGAATGTCTTTCAAAGCACAACGTAGGTAGCTGTGAAAATAAAAAGATAATAAAGCCAGCACTGGAAAAACTGACACAGCACCAAAGTTCAACACTGTAACATGTTATCAGCCTAGTGATAATTACCCAATTCACAGTTACAGTTCTTGGAGATTATTTCACAAGAGATGCTCAGTTTTACTAAAGCCTCACTAAGACTTAGTTCAAGGTTTTATTTTTTCAGCTGAAATGCCATCTGCAATGTTTAAAATTACCATGCATGGTACATTTTCACCCATTAAAGGAAAGTTTGTAATTGTCTAGAAATACCTGTCAGTGGATGTGCCCATTGTGCTTCAGCACAGGAGGTGATGGTGGCAGCTGGACCTGTAGGTGTGACTGCAGTCAGAGTGCGAGAGCTCTGAATGCTGTTTTGGCATGTTGCAGACTCCTGGGAGACACTGGGAGAACAACTGTCTACAAGGAATGTGCTACGTTTCCTTCCTAGGAGAACAAGAAAGAGAAAAAAAAAAACAGGACAGAAAATATAATTATGCCATTGTATAAATCCATGGTGCACACATTATAATGATGGTCTAGTCTGTCTCAAATGTAAGAACTGGGGAAAACTGCTGAAATGAACAGAAAGTAAGCTATGGGAACAGGAGAGAAGACCTTTCTATGCAACCCTTTGTGGAACTTGTGATAGAAGTCAAAATGAGTGCGATCCACAAAAGAGTTAGAGAAATTAATAAAGGTTAGATGTGCTTGTCTCTGTTAATCACAATGTTCAGGTTTTAGTCATAAGCTCAGGACTCTAAATACATTCAGACCCCCTAAATCACCAGAGCACACACTCTTCTGCTGTCCATTGGAGCTGGTTATTGAGTTAGACATAGTTTTAATTTTTTTTTAACCTTTTTTTTTTTTTTTAATGAATAGCTAAAATAGCAAAGCAGTAGCTTGCATATTCTATGTTCCAGGCATTGATTAATTTGTATTATCATGTCCCAGTAAAACCGTCATACCTGATGATGTCAGCCAGCAAAGCCCCACAAAGCAGAAAATAATGAGTCCGAGACTCAAACAGGGAAAATTTCAGCTAATTGCTAGAATAAGCAGATAGCTCATTGCTACCTCTGATAAGTGCTGTCTTGTCACTCTTCATAGGCCAACAGGGAGGTGCAAAACAGTTGTATTCAAAATAGCAGAAAATAAACAGTTGTACCAAATCTAAATATTTGTGTAAGCTATACAACAGCTTGGAGTATCTCACTGACATAAAACTGTTTCTGTGCTGGAAACAGTGAAGAAACACTCAAGCACAAAAGCGGAGAGCACATCCAAAAATAGCCTGGGCACAAATGCCATCAACACAGTGAGGAAATGACTGAGAATTTCACAGTACACAGCTGTGACAAACAACAACTCAGATTTCCAGTGCGTATGAGACAACCTGTGCTTAGGTACCTGTTCTGTTGTTCTGCCATTTCTCTGCAAGGACAGCGTATGTAATTGCAAACAAAGCAATTTGTGCCACACTGATGTCATTCACGATAAGGTGGGATAAACCTGAACAAGCTGGTACCCAGCCTATGTTCAAAGCTTCTGTCAGCAGGACATTTTTTTCAAGAATATATTAACTATAGGGGGACAGTCCATTTTAGATTTAGAGTATATGACAGCATGCATCTCATTTAATGCATGAGTGCACCATGAAAGTCTTTTGCTCCTTCTACGTTTTCTGGATAGATCTCCAGAGTGCTTCTACCACAGCAAAAATTGTAATTCAGACACAGCTGGCTTTGCTAGTTGGCAAAATTAACGGCAATACTTTACTGTGGGCACTAAAATTTAATCACATAATATACCTGCTGCTAAAATTGTTTGAAACAGTGTTGTCATTAGTATCTAGGAGATAAATGTCTACAGATAAGTGGAATTAAATGTATTTTTTTAAAATACTGTGTACAGTGTTTTGTGGCTAATTTCAAGGCTCAGTCCTTATTAATAGTGACATACTAAGCCTCAGTCTGTGTCACCTGGCAAGTTATCACATCGTCTCACTTCTTGCTTAACTAGTATCCGTATAGTAGTAACCTCAGAAAGTTTTTTTTGCAGTTAATGTGTTATTATTGTCAAGACATTGCTAGGGCTAAGCATTACAAGTATATCCCAGCAAACTACATACATACAGTATCTGTATGAATGTAAAATAGATAGATTAATTAATTTATGTGTATTACTAGGGCCTATGCCTAATGCATGAATGTTCCTGTATCAATTATATTTTTTGTATTCATTTTCTGTGTAGACCCTAACCATCTGTAGGGTTTTTTTCCTGCTGCTGAATACTAGAGCTTGTCATGAGGCCAAACATTTTTACTTTGTAATCACTGTGTCAGCGAGTAGCTGGAATTTTTTTCTTACAGCTCTGTGAGTAATGATCAGTAGTGAGTATATCACACGGGATACCAATGTCTTGAGATGCTAAACAATTTGACATCATGTGGTAAGCTAGAACGGGGACAACGGAAGTAACTTCCCATTCATCAGATGTTTTGGCCTCTCAGATCTGCAGTGACTCTCAACTTGGAAAATAGCGTCAAGGAGAGTTCCTTGTCCTCTCATCTCCTCCCCTCTAGGTGCTGGAAGCTGGGTCACCAGTTTTGGTGTGGACCTAACCGAACGGAATTGCCTTTCCCCTGGAAATTGTTTGGTACGTGGATGGGGAGGCTGCTCCCATCATGAACTGCTTGGGAAGGGGTGCTGTGTGAGGCTTGAGGGGAGATACTGCCCTTCAGCCCCTCTTCAGAGAGCTAAATGAGTTTTCCCCCCCAAATTTAATGATTCAAATGAGAGAAACATCAAAGGCAATTAAGAAACTTAGAAATCTTTAATTAAAAATTCCATGCAAGTTCCATTCCTGGGGGAGTGGGCGCTGGGGTCTGCCAGATTGGGATATAGGAGAAGCACAGCTGTAGCCAGCCCTATTCCCTGGTGGGGACGTGCAGTAAGTGGGTCTCCTGAGATGCTTCCAGGCCAGTTTTCTATACTGACATCTTTAAGAGTGACAATTTGGAGGGCTCCTCTCCAGAGAGAGGAGTCAATGCAGACAAGGAGGAAAGGTCTCTAGTCTCTGCTGGTTGCTGTGGAGACAGGCAGCATCCCACTGTGAAGGCAGTGTAATACAAAGGGGAAAAGCTCTGAGGGACATCACAAAGACAACTTACACCTTCCACCTCCTACCTCAGCCTGGCTCTGTTCCTGCTGTCTTCCTTCCAGCCTCTTCTCTTCCTTTCCTGATTCTCTCCCCCTCTTTCCTTCAGCTCATGTCCCACCTCTGTTCTTAGTGGGACTTTCTTCTCCCCATTCATTTTCTCTTCACAGCTTTTTCCTGTACCTTTTTCTCCTCATT